TAATCAGTTTCAACAATATTTTGAGTCAAAGTAACTGACCAAATGGATTTATGAATCTTATCCTAATTTTATGTGCAAAGTTATGACGACCAATAAAAAACCATAATCACAACGTGTTTATTTAAGCGCCTCTGCAGGAAGGTTTTCAGGTTACTGCCACTCCTGTTTTAACAGTGTTCAGGTACAGTCCTGTCCAGACTGCATGCATTTGCACAGTGGCCTACCTTTTAGAGCTCCACTATCAATGATTTACTAACATTGTGCTAAGATTACAGCTGCCTCCTCCTTCACCCAAACCCTCTCTAACCCCCCACACACACACACTGTACAAGTGACGACTGCACCCTCCTGCTGTGACCTCTGTCCATTAACAAATGACTTTCTGAACCAGGAGGTCACCTGCACAGTTTACGTTGTGGCACTGGACCTTAAGAAATAGTTAACTCCTGCCTGGTTTAAGGGTTTCGTGAACAGTTAAAACCCCTCCAGGCTGAAATCAACCTCAAACTCAGACAAATAACTACTCTAAAAGTGGGAAGCATTCCTGTGTGACGCAAAGGTTGTAAAAGCTCACATAAAAGTGCTTTCCAGTGTAAATATGTGTAAGATTTCTCTCCTGGTTTAGTCACTGAGCATCACAAGGATAGTGATCATAAGTAGAAACAGAAATAGTTCCGGCAACTTCTAATGAAATTATGTTAAACAAATGTAATACATTAGCTTTTATATCTACAATCAAAGGTAAGTTTTCTTTACGTTTAGTTTAGGTTACTCAGAGAAATGAACTTGTTCCAACTAGTTTTTCCACATTGTGTCAACACAACTCAGAAGTTTTATCTTGCATTTATTTAAGTGGTGACAGCAGCTCCACTGAATTACTTTTCGGGGTGTGAGAGATTCTGTTTGATCCTGATTATTTTGGATTTGTGCCAAACAGATTTTACATTACATTAATTTGCCTTTCCGTTTAAACAAATAACTAATAGATTAAACTATACAAACAAAAAAGTGGTCTATTGTTTACTCGCGTCTTACTCAAACACAAATTAGTCATGCGCTCATATCTCAACTTTATCTCAATGTTCACACACTGTCTTGCGGCTTAGACAGCTCTACAGTGTGAACAGTATTGTGTTGCAATTTGAAACACGAGGCTTTGCAGCGTGGAGCGTGTGTGCCAGGCCTTACATGTTACACAGAAGCTCAGTGGATACAAAGATTACAGAAAACCCTAAAACAATAAACGTACAGCGAAAGGCCTTTATAGACGACCTATGCTGCGCTAAGACTGAAAGGCCGTATTGTAAGATGAAGATGTACACACATATATACATGATTAGTTATGTCATCCTTTGCGCCTTAATTGTATCCATCACAATTGGTTTATTTACAGAGCTATGATGCAACTTTAAAGTCAAGATTAAATGAAAAACACCTTTTTAACCCTTTACATCCCCATTTATATTCTACGAATGCAGAAAAACATTACAAAAACTCAATTTATTTGTATTTTTATATCAAACCCAATAATTTTTTCTTCCGTGATAGTGAACCAATCAGTTTCAGCCAATAATATCCTGACATTCACCCATCAAAGTTAAACTTTTAGCGACACGGAGCGAAGATTCATTAGTTAGCTAGCGGAGCTCACTGATCACGGTACAAACACACAACTTTATCAGTGATTTGGGTGAAACTGGATCATATTTTTATTTGGAGAGAATATTGTCTGGTTTTCCCTCTGACGTCCTCCGACTGCTCTGCCTCAACTCCGCTAACTGCTGATGTATCTGTCGTTAGTGTGCAACTGAACGGGGCTCAGCAGCCTCCCAGTGAACACTCAGAGACAGACAGAGGACAGTTTGACGACAGCGGTACCGAGATGATTTATGGGAGTTTCAAGATGGACTTGTTGCTAAAAGAAGCTAACTGTCGCTAACTTAGCCCCCGGGGTGCCAGAAGCCAAACCCAATAAAACAAAACACAATGGTACTTTATTTACTTTGTGTCATCCAACTGTCGGATGCTGTATTTGGTCCCATAACACTCAGCACTATTGGCTAGTCCCTCCCTAGCGGCCCGTTTTTTACAGGAAATATGTAAATATGGGGAAGCAAACAGCTCTCTGTTTTCCATTTTCATTTGGACACTGACATATTAGCAAAGTGTTTGTTATTTACACATCCAGCAAACACAAACAACATCAGCATTAACAGAGTTTGTTTGTTTGCTCCGTCAGTTCCTGAGAATCAAATCTGGCTCTTCAGCTGCTAAATGTTCACAGTGTCTGTGTGCTGGTTGTTGTTGCTGGGCAGGTAGCGTACTGTGGGTTTATCAGAGCTTTTTAAGCTGAAAACAGCTGCCTGCTGTGGTTGGAAACAAGGCCGAGGAGACTGGAAACCCAAATAAATAAAGAGGCTAAAATGCTCAGCAGAGCTGCGGGAAACTGCACAATTGTGTGATAAGAATCTGTGGGTTTTTCACTAACTGACAACTGGCACATTACACATAGACCTACAGTAGTCATTTGATCTGTTGCATAATTCGAACCTTAAGCTGAAAGATTAAAATAAACTGTCAAAGTTGTGGTCGACCAGCCCTCAGGTTTGTAAGCTGGTGCTCAAGACGAGAGTAGGCTCTCTGGATTGGGTAGAAGTAGTCCAATAATCAATCATTCATAAAGAAATAACACAGCCGCTCACCCACGCTGCTACAGATTTTGCTAAACATTTATACTAACATCATTCAACAGCGAATAAACAATGCTTTCAAATGCATTCAGTCTTTAAATGTCACAAGTAAAACGCTCACTTCTGCTGAGTTTCTAAATGTCACATGATGTAGGCCACATTCCTGACGTGTGAATTAACTGACTGTGTCTACTGTGGCCGTTCATGTCTAGAAAATGACATTTTCATATATTTTCTAAATGCATTTGAAAGCAGGAATGTGTATTTACATGATTACCAACAGTAGGCTATATTCAGGAGCGCCTTGTTCTGTGTGTGAAGACAAAAGCTACGGTCACACTGAACCCAAATCTGGTTTATTTGCTCTTATGTGACTCAGATTTGACAGTTTGAATGACACAAATCTCAATTAATTCTGATCTGGATTTCATTTGTGGTTCAAATCAGATTCAGGTCTGACCTCAGTGTGAACCGTGGCTCCCAACACGGGGTCACCGAAGCTTCATGGGGCGTTACGAGGCCTTCTGGAAGAAACGTCTGTGACGAAAAGTAAATGTAAAGTCAAATAAATGGTCTAATAGAACAATGGCCAAGCATCAGGGACAAGAAAACACTGAAGTTGTCAAAAAAGAATCCTTTTATGTCTGAATTATTGTTAGAAATGATTAAAAACAACATAATACAGACAGAGAATTGTATAAAAAGTTCTATAAAACAGGAAATAATCTGCTCAAAATTCATCCAAATATCTAATTTTACACAAACTTTCTGCAGTTACTGAGTTCACTGTTTGGGTTCACTATACAGGTTTGAATGTAATATGAAATATCCATAAAATATGTCACTTAATCAGGGTTCATCAGTTTACTCAATGATAGAAAAGGTGTCCTTTGAGGAAAAATGTTGGAAACCACAGCTTTAAAAGTATCCATAGTTACTATACTATAGTCCATAGTTAGCTAGTTACTCAAAAATAAAATACATCACTCCTTTTTAGTTTCAATACTAATATTATTTTAGTTATTTCTTAGTTACACTACTACTACATTAGTATATACACTTCTGCTACACCCCACAAAATTGGCAAGTACATCCTTTCTCCCTAAAATGCACAGACTTCACATGTTGCCCAATGTGACCAGTGATGACATGTATAGCCGCATGTCGTCATTCCACCGCTGGCTGTCGAGGTGGTGTCCAGAAAACAACGTGGGCTTCATAGATAACTGGCAGCCTTTTTGGGGAAAACCTGGTCTGATTAGGAGAGACGGCATCCATCCCACTTTGGATGGAGCGGCTCTCTTATCTAGGAATATGGCGAAGTTTATTTCTAAAACCTGACAATGCAGAGTTGGGACCAGGAAGCAGAGTTGCTGCGTACACACTTTCTCTGCGCTTCATTAAGTACAGCAGTCACCCACCCAAAACCCCATAGAGACTGTGTCTGTCCCCCGACCACCGAAATTATTTAAAGAAATAAAAACAAGAGGAGTTAAACATGAAAATCTAATAAAAATTAAAACTAACTCCTCAGTAGCACAACATAAAAGAATGAAATTTGGATTGTTAAATATCAGGTCTTCTAAAGCTGTTTTAGTGAATGGAATTTAATATCAGATGTCTATCGATTGATTTGTTTGAATTTTTACATTGTCTTATTGGAGAAACCCTGGTTGGTCCCGAAGGAATGTTGCCTGAAATGAATCCCCCCCCCAGTCACATTAATACTCACATCCCCCGAGGCACAGGCCGAGGAGGTGGAGTAGCAGCCATATATGATATCCATTTCAATATTTTTTTTATTTTCATATTAGGTTTAGACATGCCATGACACTCACCTATTCACCACCCTGACCTCCTACTTTCTGCAATGGCACTGAGAAGTAACACCTTGAGGTGCAGAATTGTCTAATAGGGATGGAATTTCTATGATATGATAAGTTAGAGATGTTGAAACTGAAGATGTGTGTCTGTGTTTTTCTCTCATCTAGGCATTTCTGATCCCATTCGCTGCTCACAGCAGGGCCTGTTCTGAGTGGCCATGATTGGGTACCATGATGCCTCAAGTGCCCTTATCCTCCTGGTTCTCCTGACAGGGGCTTCCTTGCTCCATCTATCAACCCCCAATCCGATCAACACCCCTGAAGATGTCAATAAACCACACAGAGATACTCCTCCTGGGGTGATGGTGTCAGGGGATGGGCAAAGGATGGATGAGGAGAGGCGATCTTTACGAAAAGAAGAGGCAGAGGAAGAAGAGGAGCTTTTTAAAGATGTGGATCCCAAAACACTAGCATCAGTTTTACTGGAGGCCCTGAATCGCTCACAAGTAGAGAGAAGGAGGGAGGGAGAGGAGCACGATGGCATGGAAGAAGGGATGAATGCTGAGAGAGGGGAGGTTAAAAAAGAAGAGACGTACAGAGAAGTGAGAATTATGGAGGGAGCAGACCGTGACAGAGATGGACGACAGGAGTTAGAGCTGCTGATGGCTGCACAGGGAAAGGAGCGGGAGAGACAGGAGGAAGAAGAGAGGAAGAAAGCTCAGGAAGAAGAGGAAAGGTTGACAGAGAAGGTGACCAGTCGTACCACAAGTCAGACAGTCCGGGTCCAAACAGCGCAGCAGCCCGCTAGTCCAGAAGGAGGAGGAGAGAATGGGCAGGGTGCTTCCCCCCAGCAGGGACCAAACAGCAATGAGGAGGAGGAGCAGCTCAGCCCCGAGGAGCTAAAGAGCCTCGAGACTATGATGAAGGAGTTTCCTCGTTTGAACACCGCCACTAAGAGGGAGGGAGATTCAGAGCAAAACCAGAGAGAGAGCAGAGGTTACAACAGCTACAATGACATTATACCCATCAACAAAGGCAGTGACCTTGCCATTTCTAAGAAGAAACTGAAATGGCAAGAGGAGACACAGAAAGCCCTGAACACTCCAACATTCAGGGGCGGCAATTTTATGGACGACAGTAATTATGCTGGCAGTAATGCCGCACAGTCCCAGCCTCCAGCAGAGCAGGAGGTAATGGAAGATGATGAACCAGAAGAGGAGGATGACGAAGACGAGGAGGTGTTGAGTCCTGAGGAGGAGGAGGCTCGGGCTAAAGCAGAGCAGGAGGAGATGAGGAGGCAGGCGGTCGAGGCACAGAGAGCAAAGATGGAGGAGGAGAAGTTGGCTGACATTGCCTCAGACATGCTGCTGCGCTACATGGTCAAACAGAATAACGGGAACAAGAAGTACAGCTCATCTCTGTCCAATGCCATAGAGGACAAGAGGTCTGATGAGGAGCAGGAGGTGACAGAGGAGGATGATATTGATCCCCAGACCATCGACAAGCTGATTGAGATCTCCAGCAAGCTCCACCTCCCTGCAGACGATGTGGTAGATATAATTAGTGATGTGGAGAAGAAGAAGAAGAAAGACGTGCCGCCTGAGATGATGTCTCATTGGCAACAACCTCTAACACCGCTGTCTTCTTCATTCTCATCCCCCAATGGTTTCCCAGCATCGCCGGTTTCAACCAATCAAAATAGCTTCCCCATATCTAAACAACCCTCTCCAGCTGTCAATCTCCTTAAAACATGGTTTAAGGAGAAATCTCCAAAAAAAACGCAGGATCTCTGGAGGAAACTTGAGAAGCCTCTGCTGGCCAATCAAAAGGTCTGGCCAAAACCTCAGAAGCCTCTGTCAATCAAACAGAAACTCTGGCTCAAATCCCCCAAGTCTGTCTGGACTGGCAATCCCTTTTACCCCTACACATATCCATCTTACTACCAGAGGAGGCCCTATCCAGACTACCATCCTATCTATTTTCCTCCTCCCCAGCGACACAGACCCCATTACTACGTGCCCAAACCCACTCACACCCTCAACAACTTCCTGGGAAATTCAGTGGATGACCCCTACACTTTGCCTCTCAGACGCCGTTACCATAGCTGGGTCCAACCCCGGCTGAGAAAAGCCCCTGCAACACTCCAGCAGAAGCCTTACTACACCAGCTACCCTGTTCCGCTGTACCCACAGACATTTCAGCCAGTAGCCATCCCCAAACCACGTTTTCCTGTCCGAATGCCTGTGATCCCTCCTCAACAGAAGCAGTATTATTACTCAGCCCTAGCACCTGCAGTGACGAGAAATGAAGATTATTATGTGGCTGGAAAGCAGCCAGACAGTAGTAAACGTGACGATCTGGAGAAATACATACAGCAGATGCTCATGAAGGGACCACAAATATTGGACTGAAAGGGAGATGAAATGAGAGCAAAAATAGAGGAAATGGCAAAGAGGAGAGATGAGCAGAAGGAGTGCATTTCTTTATGATTTCGTTTTGCTGGTATTTGGTCTTGTTTTACGTATGTTCTGTTCTCCTATTTTGATTGGTAGTGATTTGGACATAACAGAGGACTTTTTTTTCCAGAGGTAGTCTGGATGAAATGGAACTTTGGAGGAAAGATACACATCTACAGTCCTGCAGAGGTGGGAAATCAGGATGAATGCGGTCTTTTGGAAAGCAGAATGCGGCAAAGATTTGTATCATGCTAGAATTTTTCATCCAAACTCCTGACACAAGAACATTCTCCATTTGGACATTTTACAATGCCAACAAAGGAGGACGCTTAAATATGTTACCTGTATCTTTAAAAGTCTCCTTCAGAATCAGAGTGACAGTTGGATGGATCGTAGGCAGTGATGGATGCTGGTAAACGTTTGATGGCTGATGGAAGTTTTACTGTCTAAACACAAAAAGAACATTTGTGTAATTATCTCAGGCAGGTAAATTTTAATAATATTTCATAAACATAATCTCTCAGAAGTGACATACACTATATGGCCAAAAGTATGTGGACCCCCAAACATTCCAGCCATATGTGATAGTTAATCTTGTGATTCCAAACCATGGGCATTAATGTGCTGCTGTAACAGCCTCCACTCTTCTAGTTTCCACCAAATGTTGGAATCTGGCAGCAGGGATGATCTCCCATTCGACACAAGAGCATTAGTGTTAGCATTCCAGTTAATGACAAAGGTGATGAGTTTTAGGTCAGGGTTGTGTGCAGTTCTTCCGCACCAAACTGGGAAAACCATTTCTTTATAAAGCTGTGTTTGTGAAAGGGGCATTGTCATGTTGAAACAGGAATGAGCCAAACACAAACTAGCTAAACAGGAAAAAACAGAAAAAACAATCCCAGACCCCAGGGTGTCCACATACTTTTGGCCACATAGTCTTAAAGATGAAATCAAGATCATCATCTGGAATAGCTCCATGCTGAAACCATTAGCTAGACTTATCTCATCTTTTAAACTAAATACATTTTTATTCAAATGTATCACTATTGTGTTTTTTTTGTTTCAAAAAATGAAATTTTCAGCAGAGCAGCACATTATCATTATGTATACTCACACATACCCACCAAAGCTCTTTATAATAAAATATAATGCACCAAAAAGCATATTTCATAACAGAGCTGTGGAAGCCACACTAATACCGCTATAATGGCTTGGATGACTCATCCTTTTGCATAACTTCAATTACCTTGTTGCTATGGTGCCAAACCCTGGCCAAACTCTATATGGCATTCTTTTACAGTTGATGCCTTTAGAGAAGGATGCAATGGTGGAGGCATACTGTTCTTTTACTAAACACATTTATGTTGACAAGGATAGGTGTTATTCTATTTTTTTTTAAACAAATTCCATGAAAAGACCAAACCATAGTTTTTTTTATCAAACATTACTCAAATGGGAGGAAAGCCCTGCATCCCACTGCTTACAGCGTGATTAATTCAAATAGTGTCAAATTTAACACATTAATTTCGATTAATTTTAAAAATAGCATGTTAAAAAATGGAAATTACACCTATAATGTAATCTTTTATAGCCACATTTTAGACTTTAGACTTCAGAAAGAGAAAATGAAAATTAAATTTTGAATTAACACAATTTATTGATTTTTAATGCCACCTTTAGATATTTTTATTTATTACTTTCTGTTTCTATTCAATGTGTAACAATAATTTCAAGAGTTCAAATATCTCATTTGGGGGCTTTTACAAGAAAATATTCATATATGATTGTTCACCCCATGAATATTTCTCTAGACCTGCCCCTGGATTAATTGTACCAATGACTTACTTCCAAGGTATGAATGACGTCGCACTCAATAAGAGGAATTAAAGCTGCAGTGGATATAAAAACCATCACCAACCAACCATATCCTTTAAAAATATCCTCCATGGTTTCGTGCCCCTAAATTAGCATGACTTCACTCTTCAACATTTATTTTTCATTCATCATTATCAACTCAGAGTCTATTTTGAAAGTTGTTCCCATGACCTAAATGTTGCACAACTATCAATCTTACATTTTATATATTTGTAGGTGAGAAGTTGTTTCCAAATTTTGAGCAGAAATCTGCTGCCTTACATGTCAGCGTGACATCCCTACCATTACATTATGTTTTTTTCCTTTTGTTCCATTTGATATTATCCAAGGCTGTAATCACTTCTTTAATGGAAGCCAATGGGATGATGGGAATGATTCTCTGGAACTGGTTCCATTAGAGATGGGAACAATTTGCTCATATTCAGGTGAATTTAAGTTTGACTCACAATTTTAAAAACACGATGAAGGCATTTTCACTGCTTGGATTGGTTGACAGTGCTATAAAAACTGCAACAAAAAAAAAAGGATTATAATGCTGAGTTCTCCTTTCTTTACTTAAATGGCTACTGATAATTAGTTATCAATAAACACTTCTTTTTCTCTCTTTTACCTCTCAAATATGTTACTGGGAACCGAAGCAGATGTTGCTCTTTGGTTTGTCTGTATTGTTGACCTTTGTGGTTGTCTGTCTCTCAGCATCTTTGTTGCCAAGCTGGCAAAAGAATCCTGGCATCGACAATCTCATAATGAAAATATCATCAACATGTGGCCATTAGTCAAAACAGAAAGTGAACGGAATGGAGGGTTACTTTGTAATGATTTATTGTTTTTTTTTATGAGATTATGAAGGAAGTTACAGATTAAGAAAGAGAATGGGAGAAAAAAAAGCAGCTGAGATATGACAGACCAGAGGTGAGGGTACAGTGTGTCTGCACGTTTATGTATACTTGCATCTAAAAATTGCTTCTTTGAAGACGTACAAGCATCAATTTAAAAAGTATAAAAAAATTAAAGATGAACAATGACGTTGGTGTACCTTAAAATCATTGTTTAAGTCATGTATGCGGCCAGTGTTGTCCATGGTCTTTCTAGATGTATCTTATTGTAATCATCGTAATAAACATGCGTTTGCTGGATGTAAATATGCACATGTCAATGACTACTTTTGCTATACATAAAGAAATAAATAAAGTCAACTATTTTTATTACGAAAGTACTTCATTGTGGACAGAAAATTTTTATGTGAGTGTGAGAGGAGACAGCAAAGGTCTTGGAGAGCCATCTCATCGACACTCAGGTGTTCATATAATGTGTTACAAGAAAAATGCTGAAAACTCACCAGGTGAGGTAGAGATGAGATTTAACGGAAGATACAGGAGCGATATCTTCCATTAAAGTGAATACACACCATGCAAATCAGAGATGTTGAGTTTCTCAGCAGTTGTGTGCCTGGATCTGCCACTGTAGATATATCACAACATTAATAGAGATTAAAATGATCAACAACAGTGTTTTCAACAGTCTTTCTGTATTGAATTGACACCTGACTGACTGAGATTTCCAGGTACTGTGAGATAGTTATACAGGACTATGACATGATGTTCCTGCCCAAAGTAATTCATATTGATAAAACTGATGGATAGATAGATGGATGGATGGATTGATGTGGTTGATGGTGGTTTTTGAAGCATTCACTATGTGGTTCCAAATCTTTTTCCTTAAGGGACCCCTTTTGTATGATAATGATTTAGTAAACAAAGTTTACACATGTTTGACATGTTATATGGATAGTTCATCTTATATTCAATGCATAACAATAACAGTAGAGAACATCCATAAACTGTACAATGAACCCAAAGTCAACACAGGAACTGCAGGACGTTTGTGTAAAAGGAGAGATTTTGGATGAATTCTGAGCAGATTATTTCCTGTGAATATTGATCAGAGTTTTCGTCATATTTTTAGATTTTTAACAATCATACATACTTAATAGGCTTCTTTTTTTGACACATTCTGGGTTTTCTTCTTATTGTTCTATTAGCTCTTTGGTTGTTTTAACTTTTCTAACGCAGGATGAGGCTGTTTAGCATAGAGTGAAGGGTCTGTGAATATAGCTAGTGCTCAGGTTTTTACCGTGCCCTTTTCCTGTTTGTATTAAAAATAAAAATGTATTTTTAGTTTAAAGTTCTATTAATAAGAGTGACTGAAATTCTGAGATATAGGTCAACCATATATTTTTGAAAAAAGATTTTCTCATGACAAAAACCCACCAGGCAGTCGTGACACATTCTAGCTGTGCAACAATCGCCAGAGCTGATCGCATCCATTCTAGACAATACTCAGGTCATTTTAGGAAGTTCTCATCACGCTGATATATTTTCAGGTGTTTTTCTCTGATAAGTTCAGTTTTAATAAGTTATTTGAAGCCATACAATTCATGAAAGCTATATTTCATGTCATGACTGACCCTGCGTGGGCGTGGGCGGGACTTTGATATTATGGCACCAACCCCAACCTGCGATTTTGGTTCTGAATGGTGAAAGATGGCAGCAGCCATATCTGGGATATTTTGGCTTAATTTTTGTACAGTGGGAGGAAGTGTAGCCGCAGCGTTTATCTTTCATATGTCGATGATTCCATCAGAAGAGAGAATATCAAACATAGAAAATCCGTAAAATACCCTGTGCAGACTCAGGATCAAATTTCTCACTACATCAACATTACATCACATCCTGTGGGACCAGGCCAAAAGTCAGTCATGGTAGAAGCAAAATATGAAGGAAAAAGGACAAAATACACAAGTCAACAACATTGGGCAGGCAAGAAATCCCTTACACTCAAGAAACCCTTGCGACCCCCTGGAGTCAGGATCCCCAGGTTGGGAATCAGTGCACCATGTGAGTGGTACTGTTGGTTCTCTGTAAATGTTATAAGGAGTTCGGTCTAGACCTGCTCTGAATTGAAATTGAAAAAATTTAATATGTGTATATAATTAGAAGAAATTTGACTTATAGAACATTTTCATTGTCATTAATATTAACCAGTTTTAATTTCACCAGCAATGAACCGTATATTTTTATATTAATATATGCATTTGCTCTTGTTTACAGTTTTTTGTGTGTTTTTGCAACAGTGGAAGAAGACTGAAACACCGGGGACAGACACAGAACCAAACCAGGATAATAACAACAAATACAACTACAGTCTATTAATCTCACTTTTAGACAAACAGCACAGATACATTTTATTATTCATTCATTTATATTTATAATATTTTTCTATACATTTTCTTTGTGAAAGGATAAACAATAAACACATAAATAAATAACTGTGAACACGCAGTGCGCCTGCGCCGGGTCTTCCGCCGGAAGCTGAGTTGTCAGTTTTGTTTTGGAAGTTGACAGGCACGTGAGCTGCTGTCGTCATCAGCAGAGGAGCAGCGACATGGCGGCGGCGGGTTGTCCGGTGAAGGTACGGCTCCGTTATTACCGTAAATCTGTAGTGTATTGTGTATCTGTAGTGTATATATAAATCTGTAACCGGGGCTACAACAACCGG